ATATAAGATAACATAATATAATATAATATTCTCCCACTCTCCACTCTCTCGCTCTGGCCTTTGGGACCAGCTCGGCGCAATACGCCAAAGTGATGACTTGTAGGCTCCCCCTTATGACCCCTTACGTTTCATTTCCACCGGCTGACGAAGGTCTTAAAGCTAGAAAAGACATGTGGGCCAGAATCGCAGCTTGATTGCGTTGCAAGGTGCTTTTTTGCCAGCGCTTCTTGCGGACGCAGTTCTGCAGGCACACGTGTGTGTGGCCGCAGGGTATTCGTGTTACTTGCCAAACTGTAGTTCCACAGGTTGCAAGCTCAACTGGGCAGTAGACATGTGACACGGACTCTGACACGGACATGTTGCCCAGTGCAAAAAGCATGTGTGCAAGACTCGGGGGCGTACTCGATCCGAGCATAACCTCCGAAAGTTCTCAAGCCGCAAAGTGATTGAGAAAAGCATGTGTGCTAGACTCGGGGGCGTACTCGATCAGAGCGTAACCTCCGAAAGTTCTCAAGCTGCAATGTGACAGATCATTAGGCGCCTACATGTGAAACAGGTGAGCTCAGGTGCCTACACTGAGAACTTATCGAAGGAAAAGCCAACATCCTGAATGATCTCGGCATCTTTCACTTCCTCCTCAGAGCCGGCACAGGCACGGAAGGCCCTCGAGAGGAGAGCTAACAGGCATGGAAGGCCGATCAGTGCGAAGAAGCCACCGACGAGCGTGATGACGACCGCAAGTAGAGCAAAAATACGGAATGCCTCGGCGGAGCCAAAGCCAAGCATGGCCACGCCAAGGAAGGCTGTCGAGCATCCCTGCATGACGTCAAAGCTGCAGGCTTCCAGCGAGTGCCGCATTCGTTTGTCCCAAGGCGTGCCTGGCTCCACGCCATGCTCGGCAAAGTGCACGATGTGGCAACTGTAGTCGACACAGAAACCGATGGCCATGACACACACGCTATACGAAATGACATTGCATGTGATGCCGCAGGCATACATGAAGCCGAACAAAACACATGTTACCGCCATGACATTTCCGACCGCCAGGAAGGCGAGGTGAACGGGCATGGTGATCAGCACTGCAAGGAAGACCCCGACGAATGCAAACCCGGCAGTGCTGAAAGTCTTATCCTGGGTTCTTGTTAAGAAACTTAACGGATGCTACCATCTATGGATCTATGGGCAAAAAAACCATGTGTCCTCACTATGGTGATTAAACCCAGTATCCTTGATGACTCTGTATCGCGCGGTTTGGCTCGGGAAACTGAGGTGGTATGGGATGACATTCAGCTCCGGGAAGCCGTCCTTGACCTGGCTAATGACGTCCAGCGCCTGCTGGCTGCGCTTCTCCGAGTCCGTGGGCTGCCACAGAAATACGCGACACCGGGCTGCTTGCAAGTGGTCGGTGATACCACCGGAGGAGTCACGAGCACTGGCCAAACCTGTGTTGGTATCGTTGAGGTACGTGAGAACAGCGGTGTCCACCTCGCACATCGACGCGGAAGTGCTCAAAGAGCCGACTGCGCGATGAAGCCAACAATCAACGGGCAAGGCAAGATCCGATCTGTTATTCAGTGCAGCAACCAAGTCGGACATGCGACTTCGGTAGGTTTTGTCAAGAACCTTCGGTGCATCAAAAACCAGACCAAGCTCCATGGGCACACTGCCCACGAAGGAGCTTTGCACGTCCTCCAAGTAGCCGTGCACCTTTGAAGAATCGGTCACAAAGTAGGTGTCCGGCATGCCTCGCCCCACCTGCAGCCCAAAATAGATGCCAAGAATGGTAAGTACTACCCATACGGAGGCCCCGCAGACTTGGAAGGGCAGACTGCGCTCCACGGCTTCGCCGAGCTTGGCATTCATCAAGGCCCTGAGTCTGCGTCCACCTCCCATGACAACTCGCGCCTTTGCCTCGAAGCCACTTTGTGGCTCCTCCCGCACTGTCATGTTGCGTTGGCTCAGTGTGATCATGGCCGGGAGCATGATGAGCATGCCGATCCAGTTCAGGATAAGAACCATGACCAGACCAAGGTTGAAGGAGAGAAAGCCGGGAAGATCTGTGCTGGTGGCCGCAGCAATGGTGAAAGCAGAGACGGATGTCAAGGTGGTGGTAGTCGCTGCAACGCCCCCGCGAGGCAGAGCTCTGACCATGACCTCTTCCATGTCCTTCACGCCCGGCCCCACGGCGTTCACGGAGGAGATCAGCAAGAAGATGACATCAACGCCGACGGCCAGACCCAAGAAGGGCACCATGGTCCCCAAGACTGTCATACCAAGGCCACAGTATCCCAAGAGGCCAAAGCTGGCCCCTCCGGACAAAGCTGGGATGCAAGTTGCCCCCAAGAGGAGCTTGATCTGCGAGTTTCCCGGAATCCGGGTATCGGTGCCCAGCATGAGCACCACGTAGCCTGCCATGAGGACAAGGGTGACGGCGATGAGTGGGACGTTGTCCATACCGATTTGCACACTCTCCATTGCAATCGTTGAAGAGCTGAACTGGTTAATCCTCACGACCGCATTCTCTGGGTAGCCATTTTCGTTGATGTCTTTCGCCGCCTGCTTCTCGAAGCGAATGCCGTCCTCGGTGTCTATCAACGTAAAGCTGGACATAGCCGCGGTGCTCTCTGACAGCCATTGGCTGACAGCCACGTCGCCGGCGTCAGCCCCAGGGAAATCGAGTGGCGCAGCGAAGAGTAGAGGAAGGCCCGCCCGCTGCTCTATGCTCATAGCCTGAACCACCCACATTGCAGCGTCGGGGCCAGTAAAGCTGCCATTCCTCTCGAGTGCTTCGAGCTCTGCAAGGCGGCTTGTGACATCCATCCCAAGAAGTGTGGTCGTGGCACTCCCTGTGATGCATGGCGAGTCGGAGCTAAACTTCTCACACACGTCCCGGAAGCCCAACTCACGTCCATCCTCCGATGTGAATCGGGTTACATCCTTGATCTGAAGCTCTGCCTGGTGGATCTGTCGGATCACCTCCGATGATACAATTCCCCGTCCGCCAAGAGGCTTTGCGAGGAAGACCAGGCTTCGCGTATCGGGGAAAATCGCCGTCGCACGTTCGTAGTCCTTGTACTCGTCGGTGGTCGTGAAGGTAAAGGTATCCATGAAGTTCACCATGATCTTGATAAAGCCGAACATGTTCTCAGATCCATCTAGTAGAAGCATCCCGGGGATGCATACTAGAAATGCTGCCAGGCAGACAGCAATGGTGACAACTGGGCGTCTTGCAATGCACCGCGCCAGGCGGCTGAAAAAGTGCTCTTGGGCATGGCTAACCTGGGTTCTTGCTAGGGAACTTAATTTAAGTTACCATAACAATAATAATAATAATAAGAAGAAGAATAATAATAATAATAAGAATAATAATAACAATAATAATAATAATAGCGATCTATAGTAGATACTTATGGTTTCCTAAGCCCAGAAACCGCAGTGGAGGTCTTGGACAACGTGCGCTCGATTTGCAGGATGCGGCGAGAGGAGGAGGACTTCGGGATGGATGCTGCTTTTGCAACATCTCCAGGTTCCTCCATGGCTCCTCCCTACATCCGGCTCTGAAGTTTGAAGCCCGACTTGCGGAGACCCTGGGGATTTGCGGTTTTTTGGCGACGGGTCTCAGATACAAGACCTGCTGGTCTCTGCAAGATCCATCAAGCTTCTGGTTTCTGGGTGTCCGACCAACTTCCATGGGTAGAAATCTGCATCTCCAGGCGCCTTACACACGGGCTGTCACGGCAAATTGCCCGCCCCGCTGCTCCCGGCTTCCGACTCACACACTCGCTCAGCTCACGCAGGCATGGCAGGTTACGTCCGAGCTTGCTACCTGAACCTCTCGGGTTCGGGGTTTGGGATAAGGGAGGCAGGATAAAGCCAAGTTTCGCAAAGTCTCTTCGACCTTGTACATCGTCCTCACGCAACATGGCCTAATCCATTGAAGTGCTCATATTTACAAGGTGCTTCGAGATCACATGTCCTCTAACGAAGTGAAGCTGTCACTTTGTGCAAAAACCCAAAGGCTCCATGTACCCATGTAGTATACACTTAGACCCTAGAGTACCTAAAAAGGAACCCCTTTAAGGCCTAAGTATATACTTAGACCCAACGGCACGCGACTATTGAACTGAATCCTTTCAGCCCCGTACCCAGAAGACTGGAAGAAACCGGTAAACCCGAAACCCTAAATCCCTAGACCCTATAAACCCTAAACCCTTTAACCCTAAATCCCTAGACCCTATAAACCCTAAACCCCTAAACCCTTAAACCCTAAACCCTATGAGAAGATCGGGCACTGCCCCCTCCTGCTGCTTTCACTTCCGCTGGAGCTTAGGCTAAACGGATCCTTATTTAGAGAACTACTTCTAGTACCCTTATAGAAACCCGGAAAAAACCCTTATAATCCCCCTAAGCCCTAAACCCTAAAACCCCTAAGCCCCAAACCCTTACGAGGATAAAAACCTAAAACCCTAAACCCTAAAACCCCAAACCCTTACAGGGATAAAAGGCGCTCTAATTCAGAGAACTGCCCATGTGGCGGCCCTTTGAGCCGAGACCACGGAGATTTCGCTGCAGACGCAAGGCGGGGTTCTGTCCCGAGGGTTTAGGGGTTTAGGGGGGTTTAGGGGGTTTAGGTGTTTTAGGGGTTGAAGGGGTTTAGGGGGTTTAGGGGTTGAGGGGGTTTAGGGGGTTTAGGGGGTTTAAGTGGTTTAGGTGGTTTAGGGGTTTAGTGGGTTTTAGGGGGTTTAGGGGGTTTAGGGTTTACACTCTCGCAACTCGGACAATCCAAGCGAGGTCTCAAGCATAGTCGGTGTGATAACAGGTTAGCTTCCCGCTACCATGGTTTAGGGCCTGTTGCTTTCACTAGCTGACGGTTTAGGGGTTTAGGGTTTAGGGTAGCTGCTTTTAGGTGATCAGTGGTAATGGTGCTGTCGCTCCCGGCACCAGTGTTTCTCGCAAAGATGGATCCGGTTTTGAACCTGGGGTATTTGCTTGCAGGGTCTGGATCTTCCTCACTACTAGAACCTCTTAAGTCTTCCATGTCTTGCTTGCAGTGATGAACGTTCGAACGGTAACGGTGGTACTGGTGACTGTGAGGGGCCGAAACAGAGAAGACGGTACTGGCACGGCTGCGGCATGGCCCCTACAACGAAAGGAATGGAAAGGGTGACTGTCTGTTGCAATTCCAACACTCTTTCGTACCGCTGCGAGTTGAAACTAATAGCAAAGACGGGGCCAGCATCTGACCTAGCGGCCTTTAGGGTTGTGCTTTGATCGCAATCTATCACCGTGTAGTCGGGGAAACAAGTAATATCTGAGGTAGCACAAAAGCAACTCCCCCTCCCTGTGGCAGCTGGTAATCCTGCAGAGGAATCCATTTTCTCAATGTTGATAAGTCGAGCGACAACCGTACAGTGGCCGTACGGTCCCACACCTTATCCAGGTTGCTCACATTCCGTCAATCTGGGCAAGCCGGCACTTGCTCCCATGGGGGCAAACGGAGAAGAAAACGGGCAAGACTTCTTTGGGTGGTGCTGCTTCGCAGCCCGCTAACTTGGCCCGTGCGTCTCCACTTCAGAGCAGGCGTTCTCCTCTATCTGCGCTCTTTAGCCCAAACCTCGTCGATGTTATCCGACCTGAACCGCAGCAAAACATCGCGTGAAGACAACGTCTCAGATCTTCCAACACCACCAGAAGCAGAGAACATAGCTCTTAGCCCAGGAACCTTGCAACCGGAACGTTGGGAATTGGCGGATGGTGGCAGAGGCCATATTCGGCTTGCGCCCCCGCCAGAGAGACGGCAGGTTTCTTGTGATCCACCCGGGGACAGCTACGCCTAAACCCCAAACGTCCGTAGCCTTTTGTTTTTTTTGCAGGAAGTCTCGAAAAGATACCCTGCTAATTGTTCTACGATATACTCCGTTATACTTCTACTATATACAACAGCTCATACTAGAATATTTAGCATAATAATCCATAGCATTGTAGTATGGTAAGGTCTATGTAAACCTCCTCGCGAGACTCGGTCTTGGCAGCTTGCACGGCATGTAATCCCGCACCTTCAACACGAAACTACATGCCCACAATTAAAGGGCCCATAAGGCCTAGGGTCGAATGTCTTTGCGCTAGGAAACCGAGCCCCGGACTTCTGTAGAGTTCTTGGATCTGTTTAGGGATGCTGGTTGGCTCTGCAGGAGTCACCTGTATCTTGATTGTGCAACCAGGGCATCTTTGAAACCCACCTCCTCTTAAAGCGCCAGCATGCTCTCGCGGCTGGCAGGACCTGGAAGTCTTGGAAAAGCTCCGGAAGCCCAGATGTCCTCTGTCAACCGAGTGGCAACGTTTCGAAGAGACGGCTTAGGTTTAGGGTTTAAGGGTTTAGTCTAGGACATTTTCAGGTGGGTCGTTACCGGTATAGGAGCCTTCTAGAAGCCCTATATACCCTAAACTCCCCACCTGTAGTTTCCGTCAATTTAGGGTCTAAGGAGTCGTGGCTGCAACTCTTAGAGTCCCTCAGGGCTTTCTCTGATAAGGGGTGTTGAGTCTGTAAGGCTGGGTTTGAGGACTTCGCTGGCAGTAAACCACATCTCCGAAGGAACCAGGCTTTTTGTCGGTTCAACATGATTACCCGCATGAAAGAACATCTCCACGACCATAATCGTGACGAACATCCCCAGTAGTACCACTACTCACCCACACTGGTAGCCATAGCTTTGTGAAGATGCTCTTACTCAACGTCTGACCCGTACCTGCTCTGCAGCAGGGGTTTGGGAGTGGATGATGCAATAGCCCACACCTACCCAACCTCCAAAGAAAAGTTCTTCCCCTCCCTGCATATAGAGTTCATGATGGTACGGAAGACTGAACCCGCTCTAAGCAGTAACTCGCAAAGCTCGAATTGAATTCTGGTGTCGGCAACTCATAAATCTTGAGCCCACGGTTGACCAGGCAAGCCTGCTCATAAGCAAGCGCGAGAGCTGAGCTTAATCGGCAGAGCTGAGCTCGTTCTTCCAGTGTCTACAATTCGATGCACTTTTGTGCCCGAGGAATGACCAAAACTTGGCAGCCATCGAACTTTGCCGTAAGAAAGCCGAATGAAGTGGACGTTGCAAGTCATCATGTCTGTATCCCACCAAGCCACAAGAAGCAGCAAGCAAACGCATAAGGACATCAGCTGAATAAGTAACATCGCCAGTCTCAAGGGTAACATGCTAGAAGTGCCAGTAGTGGTTGGTCGAAGTTGTGCTGGTCACAGTCGTGCTGGTAATGGTACTTTCGTTTTTTCTGGCCTGAGGCTAAACCCAAAACCCTAAACCCTAAACCCCTAAACCCTAAACCCTAAACCCTAAACCCTAAACCCCAAACCCTAAACCCTAAGCCCTGTGGTGGGCGACTGCAGGCCTGGTCCTGGTGGTCAGGTGGCCGAGTCTCGGGACAACTACTGCTGCTCTCCTGGTGTATCCCTAAACCCCCCAGGCCCCCAGGGTACCTTTAGGGTTTAGGGTTATACCCCCGCAGGTACCTACTATATAGGGTACTAGAGCCCCTAGGGCCCTATTATAGTAGGTACCTGGAGGGTTGGGGTATCTTGGTTTATGTTGGTGTCATGAACACTCTTACAGCACCAGAACACCCTGCCGACGCGTAGAGGTCCCTGGGTTATCGAAGTCTTGGAACCTGTTGCCAGCCGACAGCATTCGGCTTCAGGGCAAAAGGAATGTATGTACTGCAAAAATTCAAAACGAATAGCCTCCTGCAAGAGGCCACGAATTCGAGATCGTTGCATGCAATGCCGTGCAGCGAGTCTGAGGACGATTGCGTGGATGTCATGTTTTGCTGAGAACCTAGTCCTACCCATAGGCTCCTAAGTAGTTCCTTTTTGGGATTACCTTATAGGATTCTAAATATGAACCATAAAAAGGAACTACTTAGGAGCCTATGGGTACTGCATACACTGTCTCGTAGACATTGAACACAACTTGCGCGACAAGGTTTAAGACATGACTCTCGAAAGGGGTTGTGTGTAAATACATGAAGCAGGTACACATGCAAACAGGTGTTTTCAGACATGGAGCAAGAAACCCTCCGACAGGGCTCGAGCTCAAACTAAACCGGCATCCCACTTTTTTTTGGGGGGTTCCCGAGTGGGGATGTCCCAATTTGGGGACAAGCCTGGGGCGCTTCGGGGTGCCCCGGGTCTACTCGCGCAACCACCTGTTACACATTGCTGGATGGCGAAGGTTAAGGTTCTAGGAGTCTTAGGAGAGGATGCCGCTACTTGTGCGGCCATGCCGACTGCTTGCAACGCTTGGCGTTAGAGGCTATATCACATTTGTTCACAGTGTGCGCTCTACCCATGGGCCCCTAAGTAGTTCCTTTTTGTGGTTTATATTTAGAATCCTATAAGGTTATCCCAAAAAGGAACTACTTAGGGGCCTATGGGTATAGGCATTCTACCAAATCTCCGAAGGTTGCAGACATCACCGCCTTATCCTCGACCCGCGACAGCAGTAATTCAGGAAGATGCTCAGATGGCTTC